GATCATTTTTAATATATATTCTTTACACATTATGTATAGCTAGATTGATTTGAGAATGTATGCATCATGTTTTTATATATATTGTTCACACATTATGTATAGGTAGATTGATTTAAGAATGTATACATCATTTTTTATATTATATTCTTTATACATTATGTATAGCTAGACTGATTTGAGAATGTATACATCATTTTTTATATATATTCTTTACACATTATGTATAGCTAGATTGATTTGAGAATGTATACATCATTTTTTATATATATTCTTTACACATTATGTATAGCTAGATTGATTTTAGAATGTATACATCATTTTTTATATATATTCTTTACACACTATGTACAGCAAGATTGATTAAAGAATGTATACATCATTTTTTATATACATTCTTTAAACATTATGTATAGGTAGATTGATTTGAGAATGTATACTTCATTTTTTATATATATTCTTTACACATTATGTATAGCAAGATTGATTTGGGAATGTATACTTCATTTTTTATATATACTATTTACACATTATGTATAGCTAGATTGATTTATGAATGTATACATCATTTTTTATATATATTCTTTACACACTATGTACAGCAAGATTGAATTAAGAATGTATACATCATTTTTTATTTGTATTCTTTACACATTATGTATAGCTAGATTGATTTAAGAATGGATACATCATTTTTTATATATATTCTTTACACATTATGTATAGCTAGATTGATTTGAGAATATATACTTCATTTTTTATATATATTCTTTACACATGATGTATAGCTAGATTGATTTAAGAATGTATACTTCATTTTTTATATATATTCTTTACACATTATGTACAGCAAGATTGATTTATGAATGTATACATCATTTTTTATATATATTCTTTACACATTATGTATAGCTAGATTGATTTAAGAATGTATACATCATTTTTTATATATATTCTTTACACATTATGTACAGCAAGATTGATTTAAGAATGTATACATCATTTTATATATATATTCTTTACACATTATGAATAGCTAGATTGATTTAAGAATGTATACATCATTTTTTATATATATTCTTTACACATTATGTATAGCTAGATTGATTTAAGAATGTATACATCATTTTTTATATATATTCTTTACACATTATGTATAGCTAGATTGATTTAAGAATGTATACATCATTTTTTATATATATTCTTTACACATTATGTATAGCTAGATTGATTTAAGAATGTATACATCATTTTTTATATATATTCTTTAAACATTATGTATAGCTAGATTGATTTGAGAATGTATACATCATTTTTTATATATATTCTTTACAAATTATGGATAGGTAGATTGATTTGAGAATGTATACATCATTTTTTATATATATTCTTTACACATTATGTATAGCTAGATTGACTTAAGAATGTATGCATCATTTTTTATATATACTCTTTACACATTATGTATAGGTAGATTGATTTGAGAATGTATACATCATTTTTTATATATATTCTTTACACATTATGTATAGCTAGATTGATTTAAGAATGTATACATCATTTTTTATATATATTCTTTACACATTATGTATAGCTAGATTGATTTAAGAATGTATACATCATTTTTTATATATATTCTTTGCACATTATGTATAGCTAGATTGATTTAAGAATGTATACACTCATTTTTTATATATATTCTTTACACATTATGTATAGCTAGATTGATTTAAGAATGTATACATCATTTTTTATATATATTCTTTACACATTATGTATAGCTAGATTGATTTAAGAATGTATACATCATTTTTTATATATATTCTTTACACATTATGTATAGCTAGATTGATTTAAGAATGTATACATCATTATTTATATATATTCTTTGCACATTATGGATAGGTAGATTGATTTGAGAATGTATACTTCATTTTTTATATATATTCTTTACACATTATGTATAGCTAGATTGATTTAAGAATGTATACATAATTTTTGTTATAAATTCTAGGTCCTGTCTAAAGTTTAGGACGATACAAAAGTCTGGTTTGTCCATTTAATCATTGTTTTTACTACTTTTCAAAATTTATTTGATACTTACTTTTGTTTAAAAACATTTTTGAGAAATCCTTTTGAGAATCTTTTGAAAAAGAATTTATGCCAAGACTTTGATCTTGCTAATACTATTTCTATTATTTAGACTCTATATTACTTTAGGCTCTGAAATTAGAAAGTATATTATTTGAAATATATTTAATATAATAATTAAATATAAATTTTCATTCTTACTTCTTTTTTTTTATTTTTTAATATAAAATTAGCATGTCCCATCATCTTTCTCAATAATAATATTGTAATCAATGCTTTTTTATAAATAAATAAGCTAATTAGCAAATTGATTAAGAAGTGGTTTTCTCTCTTGCCTCTTTTTTTATGCCTCACTACAAAGAATGTTATTACTATGCATTTTAGAAAAAATGTGAATTTTTATATACACTGTCTCTTAATCTACCTCAACTACTCTAGATTTAGTTTTAAGCAAGATACATGTATAATTATGTGTAAATCCAGAAAGAATCATATCACCTCAAAGTTTTTAATTAGATGTGACTGATTGCTTAGCCATGTGTTTTGTAACATAGCTTTTTTATTAATTGGATTTACTATCATATTAGATTTGGTATTAGTTAGTGTTCAAAAAAAATGATGTTGATGTATTGTTGTGACTTATCCTAATTTCTAATTGTGCTTTATATGTATCATCACCTTAAATCTAGTTACAATCCTTAAATACTTCTTTCTAAAATTACCACTAACATTATTAAATCTTGTTAGATTTAATGCTAACAAAGTTCTATTCTTAATTGAAAAACCTTGTGCATGTGTATACTTTTCTTAGCAAAGAGGTTGATGTTGCACTTAAGACCAATAACACCTTCTACACCTCCAAAAACCCCATCCCTTGCTGTAGCCTCTCATTGCTTCTAATGTGCAAACCGATGGTTCTCTTGGGTTAATGGAGCACAATTTTTATTCAATCAACATGTTTAATTTACATGCAATAGATATAATAGGCATTAGAAGCAGGAAAATATATTAACCCAGAGTTTGATATGATCTATTAGTGCACATTTGATATAATTCCTATTAGTGCACATCAAAGGAACATTGTTAACAGCAGCAACAGAAGTCACCAACTGATGCCCCTTGGAAGACCCATAACCTTAGATGACGCTATAACAAAGATGCAGTATTTTGAGTGTGTGATCCCCAATATTTCAGTGGAATATCTCCCACTCAGACATGGTTTTGACTCAAATCGGCGATTCTCCAATTTAGACGGTACATGGCAAATTCATGCAGAGATAGCAGATGTCTGAATCGCTGTGGTCCGATATGGTACGCAGGTGACGAGAATATTGATAGGATAACTCTAGTACTAATCCTCAAAGCATCAGCACTGCAAGATACGTCTCAGTTTCCCTTCGTCGCCGTCGCTGCATCCCAAGGCGTGACTCATGCAACACTATCATCAAAGTGCGTGTTACAGTGAAAAGGTTCGATAAAATCTGCTTCAGTCCTACATGTTTTGTAGCGTTTTTCTATGTACTTTTTCTTTGAGAAAGGCAATGACCTATGCTGATCAATGCCTTTGGAATTGTAATCTGATTTGTGGATGAAGTGGTGTTAGGTTACATGTACTACTACTTGGCACTCACCGTAAAGAGAAGGCACGACGCTGGAATTCAAGTTATACCTCTACTTGCCCTATCAAAAAGTTGATACCTAGAAGGGTATGGCACAAGAGGTTACCTTTCACAGTACAGTTAGAATGATAAGCAAGGCTTCTGTCTTCACACAATCTCGAAATACTCAAATACTGAAACACAATGTCTTTGAGGATCCTACTGCTTAAAAATTTGCAACCAAGATTAGAGGTTCAGAAATTTAATTCGACGTCAAGCTATGAAGGTGGAGTAATACAGGCTCAATGGAGTCAAGCAAGCTGATGAAATGGGCTATTGCGGACACGGTACACTGGGATTTACAGTTGAACACGGTTAATGCAATTAGTGCCTCGTGTTCTGGGAAACTTGAGAAAAGCAAACAACCCGGAGGTTGGGGCGACAGATAACAGGGCTCTCCGAAAAATTCCTTGATAGACATTCCGTGCTGCTTCATTAATGAATGAGCACCTGTTCGAAAAACGAAGCTTAAAATCCTTCACAGTCCGGCCTTTACTGAGCTAATACAACTTGACATTCCTATGCACTTGTTGAATTGGAATTCTACTTCTTGTCATCAACTGTGAACTCTATCTTTTCTACGAACATTTAAAAGGGGGGTTTACCTATGTTTTCTACATTTAAATCTAAGAGAGGCTATTGGAACATTATATCACATGAATGAAAGCATCCTCATACTTCAAACAATGGCACCTCGTAGTCGTCTGGCCAACTGCAGATCCTTCGGCACTGCATCCATCAAAGCCGGTAAGTTGATAAAACAGCGATTTCACATGCTTACGTCGGATGAACTGTAACCTGACGTTCAAAGAACATAGACATGTAAAGAATCTATAGCTTTGGATATTAATCAAAGCATTTTAAGTGAATAAAAAGAGAGGATTTCTTACTTATGGTTACTCGCTTAGCATGGATAGCACACAAATTGGTGTCTTCAAACAAATGGCACATATAATCTTCAGTGGCCTGCATCCATGCAATGTTTAGAACTAAAGTTATTGACAGAAAGTTTTCAAAAGAAAATAGACACTATCGGACTTCATGGAACGTGAAGCTAAACGTTTAAAAGGTGATAATCTCACAAGTACTGAAGGCATAGCTGGGCAAACAAGAATGCCATCCTACTGTCTCATGGCCCTGATAAGTAGCCTTTTGATGGTTAAGGAGCCTTGCAGTTGAGAAAAGAGCACACCGCTGATTATGGCAAGGTAATACTGAGAGTTTGAAACTAGTGAGGATGATAAAGACGAACCTTAGTTCTGTCACATTTACAAAAACATATCGATTAGTCTCATAGGAGCGATGAATAAGTTCTGAGTAGAATACTACCTCTTGGAGAGCGGTCAAAGCTTCCGCAGTCCACCGGGAAACATCACTAGCGTACATCATCGTAATTTCCTTCACCTGCAACATCAAGAATCAGGGGAATCAGGGTGGACGACATTGACAGGCGTATTGATCAATAGCTGCGCAGTGTATCAAAAATCTCATCTCGCCATTTGGCTCGAGGTGCGAAAAGCTTGCAATAAATTTTATTTCGTGGTGTCAAATGCTGCGATGGTTTCAGTGAAGTTTTCAAGAATTCAGTAGTGATGGGAAGGTTTGTGTCACCGACCTTACAACCATCTCGAGACCCATCACTACAGACTGGACACTCGAGGGGACAGGCACCTGATATAAATTGAGCATACGAGAAACATACTATGAGTGAAAGAGGCGCACTAGACAAAGGTAATAAAATTTTCTTGAGGGCATCGCCTATCGTTCGTAAGAGGAATGGTAGCTTGTAGCAATAGATGTGACCATGTCTTGTTAAATCTCCGGGGACATGCTTTCTTCCCAGAGATTCAACCAAAAAAATTGACAGTCTAAATGATTACAACCACGATGTAAAGAAATGTATCGTGAGAGCTCCAGCCATTATTGAACTCGATAATTTTGATGTCACCTCTTGGGTCACTAAGTTTGCTCACTCATGCAGCATATTGTTTCTCAACATTCTTCTTGGTTTAAAACCTAACAACATTTGTATGATTTGCCCATTTTGTGCAAACGCACTCATATCGACGAGGTCTATTAGAGAAATCCTTGATTAGAGCAATAGCAGGCTAGCTATGAATAAGAGAACCTAACCCCACAAGCCCTTAGAGTTGCGAAAACATTTAGAAGTAAACCTTGAGGAAAGTTCCGAACATCCTGTACTACATACCACAATCACCCGATTTAAAATCCACTAAGACACTCCGACGAAGGCTGTGATGCATTAAACTAGTAATCGGCCTGTAAGTCAATCATTAATAAATTGAACGTACAGCTCGTAATCTTGAGAGAAAGATGATGCGGCGTCCTGAAACCCATTTTTTAGAAGAAGAGGCCTGTGTCCGGAGGAATACAGCTAGAGTAGAAATAAAAACTCGCCCTCTTCCAGAATGAACGCTTTATCAATGGTACGAATCCGAAGACTTAAAGAACTGGCTCATTTCTTCGAAGACAAAAAAATCCGGATAACTAGTCGATACTTCACATGACCAAAAAGGTAGACCAAGAAACGAAGGGGTACAGCTGGGTAGAAACTTACATAGCGGGCAAAAGGTAGTCGAGGGATGAGAAGGTCGCACGTCTTTTGATAATGGCGGATCTCTTGCAATGCCTTGGTCCCGGGTCTCCATCGGTGCGGCTTCCTGGGCCTCACCGCAGCTCCACCAACAGAGCTAGTAGAAGCTCGGTGGTTGCCATGTACAGGGGTAGTTTTCCTTCTTGCCATAGCTGCACCCCTCTCTGCTGCTTCTCTTTTAACTACCACTCACAGAAGTGCACCTGCCACCTTGATTCTCTAATCCACCTGAGACCCATCGCTACGATCCTACTTCTCATTTCCTTACCACCCATGCTTGAAACTCAAACGCAGCGCCAACACACACCCGCCAACAGCGTTCAACGAAGGAAGTAACCTCGTCCTTCAGTCTCAAGACAATCTCAAATAAACCCACAAAGGCCATAGCTACCAAAGTACTTCAGCAAATCCATTACAGACGCTCGCTGACTAAGTTGACTTAATTCTTCCACTGGTTCAATACTGCCACTCTCCTTCCGATGCCTCCCTCTCTCGGATCGTGACCATCCTTGTCCCACCTTTTGGACAAAAAACCAAAGCGAAGGGTCTGGCGGCAAAATATGGTCGAAGCAGGGTCGGCATTCCCACAGATGGAGTCTGACGAAGCCACGATTTCGAGCGGGAAACCGTAAAACCCCCCTCATGCCCCGCCCACAAGCTCCCTATCTAGACCTCTCTTAGATCCAACATCTGCCAGAGTGGCCCTTATTTGGCGACATCCCCCAACGGTCCCTTCCGCGTCTACAATATAACCGCCAGCATTGCAACCGATCGCAGTCTTCCGAAGCTTAATGCTGCCAGACCGCGAGCACGGCGGCGTTGTATGCAACAACCCCCCACTGAGTCCAAAACAATTTGCCGCTTGCATCACATCCTCCATTCTCCGCGTCCTGTGCTTGTCTCACGACATGCTTCCATCTCTCTCTCGAATGTCGAGGCATTTGCGAGTGTGGCAAAGCTGCTGCTGCCTCTGAGTCGCGTCGCAGCAGCTTGTGGATCATCCATGCTCGCATTCTCTTTGAATGTCCGATTGGAGTTGTGGGTTCTTTTGCTGCCAGGTTTCAGATTTGAGAGGTGGGTACAACGATGGTGGAAGTGTGGACTTGTAGGCGGAGAGATCGCCGAGGGCTTACACTTTACGTTTGGATTGATGAAGGGGCAGCTTCATGTGTGTGCTACAACAGAGATGTGCAGAGTGTGCTTGGGTTTGAGGACACCGCGAATGGAACTGTGGAGGCTTGACGCCCAATCACGTGAGGAAACCGCGATTGCCCGTTGATTTGCTGCGATCGAAACCCTAGATTTACCGCAGGAGATGGGTGTTCAAAGAAACCCTACTTCGGAGGACTTGTCTGTGTCAACAAAGGCTGATATAGAAACATCGTGGTTAATGAAGGTATTATAATGTTCGTGCGCCTCTTGAAAAAAATGTTTCTAATGTCACACTCTTTTAACAAAGTTGGATCATATTGTTAAAATCCTTACAAAATCTGGAAAACATTTGAAACACATATATTGATCAAACTAAGATTTTGACGTAAAGCATTCTCATGGATGATTCATATCACTCTGTTGTTTATAAATGCACACATGTTATCTACCAAATGTTTATTATGAGAGGCGATCAAAATGCATTAAAATCTTTGAATCCCATAATCCATTAAAATCATTGAATGGATCTTCAACCCTTTAGTCTTAAGACTATCATCTAATATCTACTTGGTTTAAGTCTTATAGCATGTAAATTATCTCCCTCAAAGAATGGATGTTCTATGATGCTCTCACCAAGACTTTGTATTGGCCTAATTAAAATTTCTCAAGCTTCTTCCTTGGTACATATATATAGATTGCTACTATTATTTATTTATTTATTTATTAGTGATTTTGCCATTGGTTTTATGAAAAATGCTAAATGAGTGTAACTATAAGAACAAAGAATCTTAATTGAGTATAACACTATTTTCTTCCTTACATTTCTCCTTTGGTAAGAGTGTTGTATCAAATAGTTTTTAATTTTCTTTTTAGAAAAGATTCTTGATCCAAATCTAATATTCTATTGGTCAAAACATTGTTTTAGAAATATTTTCATTATTGTTATAACTTAGTCACCTTAATATATATATATATATATATATATATCTTATATTTTCGTTACATATGATCTTTGTTGGTGTATGTATGACCTACTTTTTTTGTATAATTGCATGACTAACATTGATTGACAATAAATATTGCATGTTATGATGTTCTTTTTCTTTTATTGATGTGTTTGTAGTCCCTTGTAGTTTTGTTTTTGTAATGATTCTATTATAGATTCTTTAGATAAGACTAGCTTTTAATGAAATATGATTGCAAGTTGAAGAAATGACCATAACAAAGGATTTACAATCAAAATAGCATTGCTTTATTTTTTGTAGCAAAAATTTGTAGTAGTATTATTATTGTCATTGATTTGTAAATTATAGATAATAAAACTCATAGATTTGTTCAAATTAATCTTGTTAAGAGTATGCACACAAATTAGACTAAGTGTGACTATGATTAAGAAATAACAATGGTGGTGTAGAGATATGTTCAAGTATTATAAGAACCAATATTATCTTATGTTGATCTTATACTAGCATTGGTTGGCTATCAAGTGTCATAAAAATCAATAGATTATTAACATTGATTTATCTAATCAAACAAACAACCAAAAATATTAATTTCATCTCTTTTTTCTAAAAATATGACTTGCATTGACTAAAATTTGCATTAAATCAAGAGATTACAAGGAAGTGACATTCTAAGTTTAGAATAATATCTATTAGATGTTTTCCTCTTATTATTGGAGTTAGTACTTTGGGAGATGACTCTTATATTGTTATGCTTGTAAATTTTATATTTTTCTTTCTTCTAATATACAAGAAGAATAAATCCCTTATCTTTTTTTGACTTATCCTTGTATCCTTCAATTAATCTATTCCATAATTTTACAATTTAGTATTTCTCTTATTTGAGATTGGTAACACATTGTTGTATAAATTAAAGAATACAAGTTTTTTATTGGAACCAAAATTAATCTCTCTTTAGCACAAACAAGAATAAGATAGCCTTTAAAACAATAATTTGTTGTTAGAATAAAATACTAAATTTTGAGATTATATTAACCATTTACTATGTTTTTAATTTATTTTAGATTTAGATTTTGCATGCTTGGTTTGAATTTCTACTCTATTCTAAGTTTTGGTACTAAATGGAATTAGAGTTCCAAAGCATTATCATTATTTGTTCTTTTTAATAAAAAAAACAATCTAATATGGACAACCACTTGTGGTACTATTTATCAGATTTTTTTTCTGTAAGCATTAGAGGATTATGATGTCAAAATTTTAATCTTTTTCATTCTTCTTAAAACTTCAAGTTTCTAAATTGTATAGACATTAAAGTAGAGATTCCAAGCTTAAAACTCTTTTTTAACATAGTATAGATATTTGTTTTAAAAATATTTGTATTTGTTTTTTTAAATGTGTTTTTAAAATAAAAATATCATTTATCTACAATTTTATAATTAAATCTTGTTAGCTATATCTTTGATAAATATAAAAAGCAATCATCAGAATTGTTTATGTAGATAGTATATGCTTATAAAACATACAATGATAAACATCATTGTAATAATACATTGTAATAAACTTTAAGAATTTTTTTTGACAAGAAATCTCTTTTATGGAATGTGTTCTATCCAATTCTATGTGTTTACTAATAGATTCAAATAATCTAAACATTATAATGTCATTGAAGTGATAAATATAGACATTTCCAATGATGTTTTTAATATATGATTTTGTTGCTTTGCTCTTCAGTCTCATCCCATCATGTGTTTTCTCAACATAAATTTTTATTGTTATGCCCTAATCTTAATTAATAAATTTTCTTTGAAAAACAAAAAAACAAAACCTCTTTCCATATGCCATTTCTAAGTCTACATTGTAACCTTGCACTTTCAAATCTAACAGCCTAAATTTATAATAACTAAATATGTATATTTCATAATTTATATATTTTTTTGTATCAAATAATTAATATCTCTAGATCTTTCCCATTTTTAGAGTTTGTACGAAACATTTTGTATGCCTATTAGATTAACTTATATATATATATATATATATATATATATATATAATTAATTAATTAAAACCAAAACCTCTTTCTCTTTCTATATATACATATATATGAGCACTCTCTCTCTCTCTCTCTCTCTATATATATATATATATTTAAAATTTTGTAGAAAAAAATGAATAAATAAAACAAGTGACATTAAACAAATTTTAGTTTTTAGCTATATTTTGTAGTATCAATGTAAAAACTCAATAGCTAAAAAATAATATATTTTAAATCAAACCTTTGTTTTAGAAACAATCAAGTTTAGAGAATAAAATTTACATTCTTTTTTTTTTATTATTAAAGTGTGATATAGATAAAATAGTTTGATCATATGTGTATATATATATATATATATATATATATACACACACACACACACACACACACATATATATATATATTAGTTATTGAATTTAATAATAAAATCATAAGCATTTGTGAGTCAAGTTTTTATTTTTTAAAATTTTAATTATTTATTTATTTAAGTTATGAAGGTATTATTTTTATATTTATAATATATATTTTTGTGTGTATATATATATATATATATATGTATTCACATATAAAATTAAACTATATAATAAAATATAAAACCCATTTGTATTAAATTATTATATAACTTAACTACCATAAAATAGTATCTAGAAAAATAATAAATCTAGTATCTGAAAACAATGATTAGTTTCTATAAAAATATATAATTTTTTACTTGTTTCTTAATTAGTCTATTTTGCATTGATGTCATGTTATGCTATTCTTTGCAAACAGTTTATTCATGGTTTTTAATATACTTCAAACTACTTCAACTACCATTAGATTCTAACATAAGCCAAAATAGTTAGTGCATACAAACTTTATAAGTATTTGAAGTAATATCTATAGTTTTAAATAAATGTGGAGAATTAATAAATCAAAAAAATTAATTATGAAATCAGGTTTTTTCAATGTTAAAATCTATAAACAGAAATATAAAGAATTTTTTTATAACGAAATTCATAAAATCTTTACATATAAGTAATAAAGAAAGCTTTAACTCAAATAAATTGATTTTTTTTTTTTTTTTTTTTCCCTACAGTTAAAATATATGCACACAGAAAAATGAGCACTTGACAATTGCAATACCACACACATTTACTCTTCATGTCTTATTTATTTTCTATATTTACACATTTCTAATTATTTGTTTCATGGTTACATCAGCAAACATTTGACGAATGAACATCAGAAAGAGAAGCCCTTCAACAGTCCTGTGCACCAAATAATTCCCACAGTTTCCAAATCTGTAAACAACAAATTATGCATCATGGACAGCAGTAGTAGAACTTGACAAAATGATTCAAAACAAAGTTCCTAGAGAACTTTGAAAACGCATCAGACCACATAAATCGACAACCATAAAGTGTTGCTTTCAAAATCCCACCAATCCAAATCCGAAATACATGATTTCTTAAACTTCGAGCAACAATCTTTGAATAACAAAGAAATGAAACAACAAACATCTGTACATGGGTCTAGGTCAGGATTATGGCCGAGCAAACCCTAATGGATGAATAATACATGTTAACGGATGTAGTTGGATGACATTCCCAACACGTCACTCCCTATATGTCGGTGAGTTCTGATCGCCGAACACACCTTAGTAGTATGAAAATAAGCGCCGGTGCTTGGCATCCTAGCTGCAGCGACACAGACGCGCGTTGAACTCCGGATAGCATCGGAGGCCAAACCCGATGCACGCAATGCTCCAGATCGAGACTTCATGGTACCAATTCCACTCTGCAGGTGAGCCTGGCCGGCCTTTTGGACGAGGGTATTGCAGAGCTTGTGCCATGGGATTACAGAAATCAGTAGTAGTTATACCGACCGGGGCGGAACTCGTTGTCGTATGATCGGCCACCGTAAGGAGCGGCGTAAGGAGGAATGTAGCCTGAGCGGCCTTCGTATGTGTACATGTCGTCGTAGGCGGTGGTCCGGGTTCTGTCCACGGGTGGGGTGTACACGGGCTGCAGAACTGCTGTCGGTGGCGCTTCCGTGATATTGATGATGTGGGCTGTTCCCATTACTCTTCGTACTAGGTTGACGACTGTCCGAGGCGAGAGACTGGAGGAGACAGTGATGGTCTGTGCTGGAATGTCGCACACCACGTTGAATACCCCTGCAGGATAACACATTGGGTCTGAGATGCGGGGATGGTGGAATTTTCACCAACAATCAGCTGCAAAGAAGTTTTTAGTCGAGGTGAATACATTGGTAAAAGAAACCGAAGACAGGTTTAGAGATCGTGTGTGAACTAACCGTCAACGCTGAGGACATCCTTGATTCGCGTAACATCCAATAAATCGTATAAAGGTGCCTTAATTATTACATCCTACGCGCAGGAAACCACCACATTCAGTGAGGAGATTTGGCTTAATGATGACAATTTTCTTTTTCTTCTTCTTTTTATTTAGTTATCTATTTTTCGCAACTAGAGCGCCACCAGCGAATTGGCAATGGCTCTTAACCATGTTCGTCCGCTCGAAACCATGCTCAAAATTTATCAGATGCGTCTTAGAATCGAATTGCAAATTCAACTCGTACTATACAAGTCGACTTAGGCTTGCCCAAGTCAATAGCTTGAGTAATTTTCCAGCACTTTTGGTATGATTCTCAGAGGCAGATCTACAGCCGTGGTCCTAAATTTAGAAGAAGTATAGCCTAAGGCTCATTAAACTTGTGCAATGACATCAGACACTAATTATTGCTCGAACAACAAAAATGGCTTAAGTTGTGGAGGAGAAATGCAGCGTAGAAAAGATGAAAAGTACCGGTAAGACTGTTCCACGCGTGTATGGGCCAAATTCATAGGCTCCGCTACTGGAGATAGACGTGCTGTGATATGGGGTTCCCAGCATCCGGTGCCGATTGTTGGTCACCCACACAGGCTCTGGCTTGCCATAGTAAAGCTGCACAAACATTGACATCAGGGTTTCAGCAACACTAAGACACATCTCAACACATCTCCTGGCTCGCACACTGACTCAAAAGTCTAAGGGCAATTTAAGGACATGGCGACAGGCCTAAATAATACCATGTTCCTTGCCAGTGTACAGCTCCTCACATGCGTTCTACAAGCATATCAACTCATCTGCTCACGTACTTCCAGCTTCAATTCTTGTCAAGGAAATGAAAACTGGAGGAAATGACAGAAGACGGACGCATCTACATTCGAAACTGAAGCAAATCACCTTGTAACCATCTTAGGCAAGGAATCAACATGCCTGCGTCTACCCATCTCCTCCATAGCCACAAAAACTTCAATCATGAAGTAAACAAATGACATCCCACTACAAAAACAGAAACACAAGATACGTGAAAAACTCACCGGGTTCACTAAAGTCCTCGACATCCTTCTCTCTTTGATCAACTTCACCGCCACGTAACCACTTCACCACAGAAACCAGCCGTAACCCACCCACCCAACCAAGTTGCCAATCCACCCAAATCTAGCTAACCAGCCGACTACGAACGCGCCCTCTCAGCCAATCGAACGATCCTCGAAGAACCTCTTCGTCCAGACAGGACGCCACCACCACAACCTCTGAACTTCAACCCCTCTGTCCACTTCATGTGAAAACAATCAGTGCTTGAACCACACGACGCAACAGCCCAAAACGCCACAGCCCACGCCACCGGCACCGCCACGCCCCTGAACTCGAGCGACTATCAGAAAGTCTGATCTAGATTCTGGAGATGAAAAATGGGTGGAAGGAATTCACGGGAAGAACAGGGGAGAGCGAGAGAGAGCGAGAGATTCATGAGCTGAATGGCGATTGCAACAGCCAGGGGGACATGGAATCACGAACCCCGCCTGCCTGCGATACATACAGACAGAGCCGGCGTGGTGGGAGTCGGGTGCGAAGAAGCCATGCTAGTTTGACAGGTGGCGGGCGGTCATGGGGTGGAGATTGGTGGGGGTAAAATTATCTGCGGAGCCTGTGGCCTCTCGTCCATGGACATCTTTCTCTGTTCACACCGCGACTCGTCGTCGTGAGCCATTCTGGACTCTCATTCATTCATTCATTCATTCATGGGGGCCCTTTCTGTCTCATATTTGTAAATAATTAAAAATTGTGTGGGTGTTCTTTAGCACTGACTTTTGACTTGCAATCCTCATCTTTTAAATCGTAATTTTTCTTGTTCTGTTTTCTTTTTTCTTTTTTCTTTTTATATAAAATTTCCTTCCTTAATTGCAAATTCTTCAATTGTAGGTAATGTTGTGAATTATACATGCATGTATGTGTCTGTATGTTTACAAGCACAATCACTTGATGTTGAAATTAAATTCAAAAAAAAAAAAAAAATGGATGTAATATAACTGCAAGATAATAATTAGATAATCATTTTCCAATTAGGGTTATTTTTGGTTTCATGGTTCTAATGCAAAAAAACAGGAATCGTGTAGTTTTTCTTAAAAAGAACATACTTCATACCAAAAGGACACAATGTAATGAATGGGAATATTTTCACTTTATTTCAAAAGATTTTTAAATAAATAATTTTTGGCCACAAAAAATCTTAAATATGAAAAGAAAATATTATTTAAAAGAATTTAGAAAAAAAAATTCAAGTCACCAAAGGCGGTGGTGGGTAGGGCCATTTAATGGTACAAGTCCTCTAAAAATAAGGAATGTTTTGGAGTGTAGCAATCATTGTTCTAACAACTCTAGAATAAGCAAAAATATACAACATAATCTACACAGGTCAGCAATTACAAATAATGCTCAGGATATTTATTATTATTATCATTATTATTATTTTAAATATTTTTTTGAAAACAGTGATAAAAATTTAAATATTTCAATTTTTTTTAGCTTCCGTTTAAATTCAAATAGAGACACTACCACTTTGCTATCAAATTATCCAAACTTTAATTTCAACCTTGTGAATTGCTTAAAATAAAAAATATAAAAAACTTTATTAGTATTTTTATATGGCTAAACTACTTCTAGAATTATTTACATAGTGCATTTTTTTATTAGTTATTTATTTTTGAATTAACATTTCTTAATACAAGAAACAAGGATTCTAATATAAAATCTTTGAGCTAAAGAAAAGAACCATCCAAGTAAATGCACTGCAACAATAAAATATTCTAGTAAACTATCTCAAGATAACCAAAATAAATTTTAAAATTTGAAACACACTTTATAATTTATCTTAATTAGTGATGATCAAAGCAAAACTCTTAATAAGACATGATATTTCAAGACAACTAAGATCATAGATTAATGAATTTCAATCAAAATATCTAGAATATTATGTTTATATATACACACACATACACATAGACATAAATAACAGAGTAATATGAAACCTACTTATAAATCATATTAGGTATTTGATAAAATATTAATAAAAAATATAACATTAAAAAAATAAGTACTATACTTTCTAATTAAAGACAATATTAAATAATTTACTAATAAAATATTAATACTTATTTTTTTAAGAATAAATTTTATTTCAAAAGAAAAAAAAGAATTACAAATGTATGAATTTCATTTTAAATTCATATTTTAATAAAAAATATCAATATTTTTTACAAATTAAATATATATATATATATAAAGAAAATAAGTAGAACAAGATAATATTATACTCATTTTATTGTATGTTTGATAAATTAAAAAAAGAAGTATTTTAATAAAAAATAAATTTTTTTATAAATTCAATGTTTTTTTATTCTTTTTTTTTGTTAATCTATAGTATTTAATCATGAATGTTTTTATATGCATATTAGCAATCAAGCTTTATTTTGTGCACATACTTTTGTTTATCACTCCTTGAATCTTCTCTAAATTAAAGTAATTTTATACATTTACATATTTGATATACACATAATCATTTTAATTATCTAAAATTACAGTGTATTATTATTTATTGTACATAATTAATGTTTCTTCTATTTACATGTACAAAAGTATATTCTATAGTAATTATAGCATGCATAGTTCCATAGTACATTAGTTTTATATTATATTTTCTATTTTTATTATAGAATATATATTTATTAGTTGATTATTGAAATTACGAGATTTTTTTATTTCTAATAAAAAATATATAATATATAATAGATCTTTCATTAAATATATTATCCGTCTAATTCAAATCACAAAATCTTTAAAAACTATTGTTGTTATCACATAAATATATATAATAATCTAGTATATATTTTAATTTTTTGTGTTTATTTTATTTTATTTTAGTTTCACCTAATTTAAAGAAAAAAATTTATATATGTATTAATTTATAATATTATTCATATGTATAAGATTAATGATTTTTTTATCATTATATCTATAAATAAATCTATAATATTTTTTTTGGAATAATATCTATTATTTTTTTCATCTTATATAATATTTTTATTTCAAAAAAATATAAATGTCAATTTTTTTTAAATAGGATTGCTAGTAGACTTTACAAATTTTGACATTTTTTTTGAGAAACTCAAGCATTTCTTTCATGACCATGATTTTCACAAGATTGATATCATAGTCATTTCATTCCATTAATTGATTTTATAATTATTTTGGGTTATTGCAAGAAGATTGCAACTAATTAGGGTACCATTCTCTTAGTAGATTTGTGATTAAATAAAACAAAACATTAAAGAACAACAATACAAATAAATCCATGTAAAGTTCCAAATGATTTTTGAAGTTGAAGATGGTCATTGAGGATATTCCATGTATTCACCTCCAAAACTAATTAGAAATAAGATGGTTTGAAGTCATAAAATAGAAACCATTTGCATATTTCAAGATAAATTTATTACTACTTTGTTAAGCTATATAATAATTAAAAGACTTTATGCAACACAAAAAGAAAAATTATATTAAAAGCAATTGTAATATAAAAGCATGAGTTTATTAAAATTAAAATATTAAATATTTACTAATTAAGATATAATGAAAAAATATTCATGTTGGACAACATGTAATAATTAAGGTATTAATTCTTTGAAAAATATGTTAAAAATCCACATAAGTGAAGTCCATTGTTAGTTAGGTTTTGATATTTATTTTTTCTAGAAGTGATTATGCTAAAATATGTTTGCTTAATTTATTTGGATCAATCTATATTAACAAAATACAACAAAACCACTAAAAATGAAGTCTATATAAGCTTGTAAGCTATAAAATATCTTATGAACAATATTGTATTGTATTTTCAATAAAGACAATTCCTACAAGATATTATAACTTCAATTTGTTGAATCTAAACAAATAAGTATTAAATAAGAATATCTAATATGATATTGTATTTACTATTTAAATAAATACAAAAGACAGTGCCTTATTGCATTTCTAATGACACCAAATAGCTAGAGTGTGCATAACACTTCTTAGAATGGATAATCTGAGCATAGGTGAACAAGTTATTGATTTGCCAAAAGACTTGTTGGAATAGGCTATATATAAAGATTTTTTTATTTTTGATTTTGGCATACATGTTCATGACATTGCCATTGTTGGCACCAATGGTGGTGCCAATAATAGTGTCAAATGCCTTGGCTTCAAAACAAGCTTCATCGTGGCTCATTCAACAATCCTAGCATGTTAAAGAATTTCTTTAATAGCCTGTCATAGACACTCATTTCTCCTCTTGTGGTTGTGGCATCCAGATTTAGACCAATTCTTTAATTTATTGTGACCAAGTTTAGACCAAAGCATCAATTTATTGTGACTAAGTTTAGACCAAAGCTTTTTGAGACCAAATTCATAATAAAACTTTAATTTATTATAATTAAATTTAGACCATACCTTCTTTAGATTAAATTTAAATTAAAACTATATTTTATTGTAACTAAGTGGCAAAGATAAGAACTCAATGAAGAAAAATAAATAAGTTAGGAATTTTTCAAAAAAAGATGAAAAAATAGAAACAAAAAAGTATGTATATTCAAAAGAAACTAGAATGACTATTGCCAAAAGATGAAAAAAATAAAAATCCTTGAAACTAGATTGAAAGCAAGAAAGGAGTTGACAAAAGTGAAGAAGGATTTACTCTTGCCTCTCTATATATTATCTAACTAGGAGTTATATAGAAATGTTCTATAGGACTTTCAACACATGTCCAATTTACAAGACACATGTCTTAGCTTGCAATGCAAATTTTCTATGTGTATGCCACGTGATTAGTTTATATCATAAGCTACCAACACATGCAATTATTACAAACATACATATTTACTTCTATGGTTATTTAAATAATATAAATTAGTAGAAGTAAATTAAAGTAGATTAATTTGTTAATATCTTGTAGAAAAGCTTTTTAGAAGCTTTGTAGATGCGGTTTCACCTTTATAAATGTCTATAGGTGATTGATAGGTTAAATACATGGCCAATAAGTTAATCACATATTGCACGTATTAATAGCTTGTGGTATAAGCTAACAATATGGCGCACATACAAAAAACTTGTCTTACAAGTTAAGATACATGTCTTGTAAATTAGACATGTATTAGAGGTCTTATAGAATGTCACCACATAGCTCCTAAATAGATAGTATATATAAAGAGAAGAGTAAAGTTTTTTTCATTCTTATCATATTCTTTATTGTTTCCAGCCTAGTTTTAAAGGTCTCTAATTTTTTTGTTTTTTGGTAATAGACATATTAATTTTTTTAATATATATATATATATATATATATATATATATATTTCTATTTTATTATATTTTTTTGAGAAAAGTCTCACTTATTTATTTTCTTTCATTGAGCTCTTGTCCTTGACAACAATATGTGATTAACATATTGGCCAAGTATTCAATCTATCAATCATCTATTGACATGTATAAAAAAGAAAACACATTTATAAAGCT